GTAGCTGAACCTTATAATCCACATATCATATTACTCCTTTTTTGTCATGCTGAGCTGACTACGTCCAGTAGTAAATATTTTACTATAACATCTAAGATTAATGTTTATAGAAATATTGATATTAATAAAAGAAATCTTGGTATTTTACTGTATTGTTCAATTAATTTTCTTACCATTCAGTAATTTCCCCGGGTGAGAGAAAAATAAAAGCAAATGAAAACTACTACTACTTATCCTATCTACCTACCTACCTACCTAATACAATTTGTCGCCTGTCTGTCTTTCTCATTAAATATTAAAAATTATACTTGATGAGAACCGTTTCAGGTGGAGAGGTTCGCAAAATATACCTATGCGGTCAAAATTTATTTATTAAATTGATATCGTTTCATTCCAGTTTCCATTAAAAAATGCTAGCAATTAGACGCTGTTGTTATATAAAGTCCTTCTTCACCTGTGAGGCATATTCAGTTTTCGCAACGAGCAGCAACGTCTAAAGTGACTTATGTAAGACCTCCATCTTCATTATACCGAGCGTTTTAGAAACATTGTTTGAATCGATATAAAAAGTCGCAATATTTGACATTCTTTTATGCGCATTTTGACTGAAAGACAAATCGAATTGGATCGGACTATTTTTGGACCGTTTCCACCAAGACCAATATAACGCCCTTTTTTCAAAAAATCATTGTATAACACATAAATGCAATTTCCAAAATTTGTGCGAATTTTTTGGTGCGAAAAATTTGAATCGGATAAGAACATTTTCTTAACCGCTGCGCATGTAACCGTTGCGGCAAAAAGTTTAATTTTTAATATTTCGATATGGCATTATGATTTCATGTAGACAGACCCGATCCCAAATAAGGCTTCTTATGAAAATTAAGCCTTTATGCGGCAGAGAGATCCAATTTTTAATCTCTAGCAGTAATGTAGCATAAAAAATAGTCGTATAACATAATTGAATCTCATAAGGTATATCTTTCGACTCCAATAGGGGGTCCGGCGGAAAATGAGCTTTTTTGTGACACGAAATTCCAATTTTTAATATTTTGCTATGAAGTATAATCCAGAAAAATACAACTGCACTGAATTTGGATCATTAACGTCAATATATTGAATTCCATCTGAATTCCATATGAAAGTTCTTAGGCATGTGGGCGATGTAGGTGTGTCAATTTTAGTTTCTTTGGCAAACTTGTAGGCGATATCTTCACTTTGGCTAACAGGAGAATGTTTATCACAGATACTACAAAGTTGCACAAACAGACAGATGGACGCACGAACAGGCGGACATGTTTATGGCCCATTACAAATTTGAAACTGGCCAAGAATTTATATACCTTATAAGAGTTTTTGAAGTTTGTTTCTGGACGTCATAAAGACATTGAAACCATAATTAAATTTGAATACTTCGGTTTTGGATATGAAAGTTGTTGGGGTGGGTTATGTTGCGCACAGTTTTGAAAAAATTGTATTTCAAGAAAACGCGTTTATACAGTTGCCGTCGAAATATCAAATTTTCGACACAACGATTTTCTTTGTAACATTTTTGCATATATATTCTTGATATCCAATAGCATATCGAATAAAATAAAACCAGTTAGAACATTATAGTCGGACAAGTTCGACCATAAGATACCCTTTTGGTAATAATTTTTTTGTTTTGATAATAATACATGCAAAATGATGCGTTATTTTCATGCAAAGTCGTACCTTCCATAAAAGGCCGCATATTGAAGAATGCCGAACGCATCACGTGACACAAACTTAATTGATTTTTTAAAAATTTTATAACTTTCCCGTTTCCATCATAAAAAAACTACAAATTAGATTTTTTCCATCATGATAACTCTAACTCTATATATGTGTATGTATTTGTATATACATATATATGTATGTATATATGTGTATGTATTCTGTACCGCTAGTTTTTTTGCTATTCTGGCCCAAGGAGGCACACTACTTAAAATGGTTCAGATCGAAGCACCTGAACAAATTTGAAGATTTCTTTCGTTGCTGACATATAAGGCTTCTAAGTCAACTTAGTCGAAATAGCTTTTCAATTTCAGTTATGCGCAGAAAGAAACAATGAGTTTCGAAGAAAAACCCATGCAGCTCTTTACGATTATTCTGGCCAAATAAGCTTAGACTTCACGTCAGCTTAGAGCAAAATACTATTTGTCTACTATTAAGTATTTCGTTCCAAGACAATCTTCACGAGACACATTAATGGCTATCTCTTTGCTTCCTTTGACATGTTCTAGGCTTTGTTTTCCTTTTCAACGCCAACTTCTCAATTATTTGGAACGTCTTTCATTGACACGTACACCCCGTGATATTCCCATAATAATAGGGCACATGAATTATTCGAAGCATTCGCACAGGCTATGGCTCTTCTGGCAAAAGATGATTATTAAAAAGGAATTGAGCGTTGAGCGGGATCTTTTGAAACGAAATCACATTTACTTGATTCGGAATTTTGATGAAAGATGTCGCGCTCCTTATCTGCACTTCAATTATTATAAAATGTTGTAAAGTTTTAGAGCGGCATCGTGCTTTCTTACGATGTTGCAAGATATTAAGGACATTGTCTCCATCTTCATGCCCTTCCTTCTCTTCTTTGACTCTTAGTTATCCCGGCAAATTATTACTTAGCTTCGTGTTTTCTATTCATTTGTCACCGATCGCCCAAGTATACGGATTATACTAAAATGTCCTTCCGTCTGCATTACTCTGAAATACGTTAGAGATTCCATAAAGTAGATATATTCTCGAACAGCGTAAGATGGAAAAGTCCTATAATGGGCCTTTTTGAAATTTGCCATTAGGCAGCTAAGAAATAAAGCACGATCTATGAAGAACCATGATCTATAGTACGAATCGATCAGATTAAAAAATATTCTCTCATATGAAATATGAAAACTTTTGAAAGAACTTTAAAGGTAAAGAGATTTATGTAACAAAACTATTAAATTTGTTTCGAAAGGGATGGCAAAACTACCAACGGGCATGCCCACTTTTAACAAAAGAATTTGCAATTATCAAATATTAGTTTACTCTGATGAATATCAAAAATTTCTCTTACTCTGTTTTCAACAAATATATATATGTATGTGTTCATGTGGTCAAATATGAATACCTTCTCTTTTTTTTTTTTTTTTTTAAATTTATGAGAAATTGTTCGATTTAGGTTAAATATACATAGATGTTAAGTATAGTCTTTGTGTTCATTATGTTAACAATTTTCTCTAGAAACTCTTTTGTTCTTATTCAAGGATATAAATTTTAATTTGCCTCAACAAAAATTTAAGATAAATCTTACTCGACCATTCGAAATATTCGAAATCATACAAGACCACGTACTGTATACTAAATCATGTAAAACAAATTTATATATACATATGTTGTATGTAAGTATGTAAAGGAAGTTAACAAAAGTGCATACCTTTTAAAACGAATCTTTGTTACTCATCAGCTCAGCTTCAAAATAACTTTTATTCCGAATTTTTCTCATTTTCTACTATAATTCCTATCGACGATACGAGCAAGCGTAACCTTAATTAATTGCATATATGCATATATATATATAAATATATATATATATATATGTGAAATAATTTTCGTTAATAGCCGACTGATTTAAATGTTATTTATATTTTTATTTATTTAATTTTTTTTATTTTTTTTTTTCGCATTCTCAAAAGTTTCGCTATTTCACGTCTTTTGTAGACAGACGTAAGTAGATGCAGGCGCATTTGTGCAAAACTAAAAGCAATCTTAATGTTCGCTGACCCGATCAAAAGATATATATAATCTATCCTAAAATACTTCCAGTTAATAATAGAACTATCGTTATATATACTGTTGTAAATATATGAATGGAATCAGTTAAGTAAAAATATTTATTCCTATATTGACGGGTATGCAAGTGTCGCAAACGAAATGACAAGTTACATATGATCCTCATCTCGGATGGTAGCTATAATAAAAAGAACGTAAAGGCTGCCATTTTAGGGTTTTTTCCTTAAAAAATTTTTACCAAACCAACTTATACAAATATGCAGAGTTATCTTTGGTGAAAGTAACAGTATATATATGTGTATATATATATACATATAACTATATACATATATGTATATATATATACATATAACTATATACATATATGTATATATATATACTGTAACATTGCAGCATAACACTTTATATGTATGTGGACACGCACAGTGGCTGGCATAACCCACGTGTGCAATATGTCAGATAAGAAAAAACCGCACAATTTTAAATCTTTGTGGTCTTTTTTTTTCTTTTCTTTTTCTTTTTTTTTTTTTCTTTTTTTTTTTTGTTAATTTTACTCTTAGCTACGCTATGTTGTACTACTTTAAAGGAAAAAAATTCTGGCCAAATAAAAAAAAAAATAAAAAAAAAAAAAAAAAACCAAAACAAAATACACACTCATTCGCACGTTTTAGTAAATAAAAACTGCAGTGGAAAAACAAAAAGGAAAAAGAAAGCCAGAAAAAAAAAAAAAATAAATAAAGGGAAAGAGTAATGGTTAAAGCGGTAATATGGTCAGTGAAAGAAGGTCATAAAGCTAAACAATGCGACTTGTGTGTACAATTCGGAATGGAAGGATGTGAAGAGAAGAAGTTTGCGTTTAACTGATTATAAAACGCGTTTTATAATAGACATAAATTTAATATTTAATCTGTTTGGCGGTCTCCTTAGCGAAATTGCTTTAAACTTTAAAGCTTGAAAGCATTTTTTTTTTTTTTTTTTATTTTTTTTTTAATTTCATTTTCACAAAATTTTCGCTAAACTTTGAAAAAGGAAATAATGAATTATAGAAATTTTTTCGCATATAAATTTTTCAAGTACATGCCATTCCAAGGAAATGAAAAATGAAAAATAAAAAACAAAAAACAAAAAACAAAAAAAAACCTACAACTACTCTAGTGTATGTTTCTTTTTTTTTTTTCTTCATTTATGGCTACCAGCTGCAACAATAATGACTTTACGTGGTGCAAGCTATGTATCGTATCGCATTTACGATTGGAAGGATCGCGTACATTCATCCACCACACGCATCAGCTTCATGTTTCGCACGCAATTCGACGACTCCGCTTTATTCTATGCGAGCGGTGAATCACTCAAGCATCAGTATATTGCAGCGTCCATTAAAAATCAGTCGATTTATGTGGAAATGGATTTCGGTGACAGTATAATGTCCACCACCCTCAACGATGAACTGACACGCAGTTATTGGCACAATTTGACCATTTACCATGAACAACGGCATGTACGCATCATACTTGACCAGCAAATGAAAATACTTGAAATACCATCAACGTCAAGTGGAAATTTACTCTTCGATCCGGAAATTTATTTCGGCGGTGGCCCCGATTTACATAAAAAGAAAGGTCTTGCGTCACACAACAATTTCGTTGGATTACTCAAGTATGTTTATTACAATGACGTCTCCATTTTATATGAATTGCAACGTGCCAATCCAAAAGTTCACTACCATGGTAAGTAAAAGCTAAAAACGCATGCAAAAATTGCGAAAAAGAAAAAATATTGAAGTAGGCAAGAAAAACACACACACATGCATGCATATATATTTTGACATATGCATGTGTTCATGATGAAGCCCATACTAGTATAGTCGTTTAACTCAGCAGACTAATTATGAGCATATCGTCGTTTAGTTAGTGACTGAAGACTACTACTACTTTTTGCCTAATAATAACATTTTCCTTAAATATTATCCAACTACCTCCAAGTCTTTAAGTAAAAGCAGCATTTAATTAATTTAAAAAAAAAAAAAAGAAGAAAACAAGTTGACTGTGTTGCTTACTTTAATTTGATTTCATTAATTTCGATTATATCAAATAGGAACGATCCTCCTAAGCCCTAATCGTTTCAAGCCATAAAATTCGCACTAAGTGAATTCCTTACGATTGTACTTTTTAGCACTTATTTTGTCACTAATTCATTGCTCAGCTAAGACGTACGATCACGAACGAAAACAAAACAGAGACTTTTTCCTGGAACTTGTCCAGAGATAGATTCTCCGATAAATTTAATATTTTTATATCTATTATGAGGATATTGTAAATTTTATTAGGAAGCATTGCGTAATTGTAGGATTTGTAAAATATAAAAAAAAAAATAGATAAATAGTCAGCAGATTGTCCGCCCGATATATATATATATATATATATATATATATTACTCTTAGTCGATTTATATCTGTGTGGTATATCTTTTACTTTCCCCATTATCTGCAACTACTTATGTATTCATTTTCATGGATAAAGAAAAATTCTTCCGTTCCATTTATATTAAAAATAAATGAAGAGTACTCCATACTCTGTATGTGCGTAAACGATTCTAGATAAAATTGTTTCTTTCTACCATTCTTTAGCCAATAACTAAGTAATTAATATAAAATGGTTTTAACTTGTGAAAATTGAAAATTATTTTAATTTATCTAACTTGCCTTTTGCAAGACACAAAAAGTTATCAAAAGTGTTATCAATAATGTTTGTATTAATATGACAACATTCAGTAGGGCACAAGCACGTTTTTTCTTAAGATTTATTTCATTCAAAATCATAAAATCAATTCTATCTCTTTTCCTCTCTCTCTATCTCTCTGTCTCTCCTTTTTTCTCCCTCAGCACATGTCACGCCACACTCAACTTAGTTTATTTATAAAATTATATATAAATCATAAAAGAAAAATACACACGTACATATATAATTTATTTTGTATATATTCTATTAGATATAATTTTAAAAGGATATCAATTCTCATTCGCACAGCAAATGCAAACACACTCCTAACATATAAACAAACAATAACCTGCTATTCATTCTGTTGCCCTATATATATATACATATATATATATATGAAAGCAATAATAGATTTTCTCCATAAATATGGTTTTGTTATATTTTCTATGTATTTATACTTACGTGTACATGTGTACATGTATGAAGGTGTACTTGAGGCAGAATTCCAGGAAAACGAAGTGCATGTCATACCAATAACATATCCTTTTGCGACATCACACATTTGGTGGCCCATAAATCATGCTGAAGAATTTAATATTAAGTTCGATTTCCGTAGTAGTCGTACGGCAGCTATCTTGGCATACAGTGATGTAACAACACACGCCGGAAATGGGTTTTGGGAGGTAAGTACGACACACACAAGCATTTATTTTCTACCGTATTACCATTACTAGACATACATATGTATGGATAGATATATATACATACATATATATATACATTTAAGGAATGAAGAACCAAAATTGATATTTTTTTCCTTTATTAGAGATGACATATTTTTTGGATATCATAGTAAAAGTAAGAACATCTGTAGGCTACATAGAGATGACCGCAGATTCGCTTAGGTTCACAAACAGCGCGCTTGTTGTGAAGTTCAAATTTTCTTACATTTTTAGATTTGAAAATTTTTTTGGCCTTAAATGGAAAAAAAAAAAAAAATTTCTTTTTAAAATTATGTTAAGAGAGTTTTGCGTTTATTATTAATAACACTAAAGTTGCATTTTTTATTATATTCAATAAGATTAAGATTCAATATCGATTTGTTTGCCTGATTAAAAACGTTGTCGCAATTGTTTGCCGTTCACGTGTTTCACAACGTAAGAGACAACTGATATTTCAAATTACCTAAGTCCGTAAATAATTTACCGGTAGACGTAAGCGATCACTTTTCACTAAACAGCAATTACTCATAGGTGTGTGAGGCGTGTTTTCGATACACAAAATTTATTAAGAAATGGATTTGTGTGTGTGTTGATCGATAAGAAATCCATATTCAATTGCATTTGTTTATAAACTAACGAGAATTTTCAAAACTAAATCACTGTATGCCTTCGCTATCGACTTGATTCTTTTAATATGCTTTAGTAGCGTAACGTCCATAATTTATTTAACGAACAAATATCTGAGACGCTTGAAAATTTCTCTTATGTGCGAAAATGAATTCACCAAAGCACATTGAAAATGTTAAAGAAAACACCTTCAATGATAATACTGCTTGCACGAAGCTCGAAAAGAAGCTGGAACGTGTCCTTCGTTATTGCGAATATTGAATAAATAAGAAAACGATATTCAGTCGTGAACGAATCTTTTATACCCATCATCGTTATCCAAAAAAAAAGGCCAAAAAAAAGGAAAAACACTAAATTTCCATATTTTATAATATGGAAAATGCGCGACCGATTTTTTCTATTGTAGGCGTTGTAGGTGTATCCTTGGAAAAATTTAAGTCGGTTTCAAATTCTTTCGCAAATTTTTTAGGTTATATCTTTTTAGATTCGCGAACAGATGCGCAGACAAAAAGACGAACAGACAGACATGTTTTGGTGCATTCGAAATTTGAAACTGGCCAAGGATCCATGTGCTTTATGGGGTTTTGAGAGCCTGTTTTTGCGCCTTACAAAGGTATTGAAAAAACTATATATATATATATGTAAAATGACGATCAACTGTACCATTGGGTAGGCGTCGTCAACTTTCTTCATTTTTTCGCAGGTACTACAACAGCTTATGAGTAAGGAGTAAAAAGCCAAATTTTTTATTCCTTTTTGAAAGAAGAGCGTGTAGGTTGTAGTGTCCTTCAACCAACCTGCATGCGATGTTTCCGCCAAATCTAAAGTCGATTGCTTTATTTATGCAGCCAGGAGAATGTTTACAGCACACATAACACAGACGGACATATACACATACACACATACACACACAAATGGACAGGCGGACATACTTAGATCGATTGAGAATTTGATACTAATCATGAATATATATGTCGACTTGATGGAGTCTCTAATACTTCTCTCTGAGCGTTGCAAACGTTTTGACAAAATGAATATACCCCTCACCTTTGGGTTAAGAGATATAAAAAGGTCAAGAATTATGGGTTTTATTTACTAACTCGATTCTATAACTAGTTAATGAATCGAATCGTGAAAAAGCTCGTTACGAAATGAAGGAATTTTTTAATAATTACTCATGTCATCGACCTCTCTCTGACTTTTCTCTAGTACTAAAATTCAATGGCTCATCCATATGACAGCGCTTTTTTAATAATAAAAGAAATGGAAAATCTTAAGCCGAGTTGCAGACGACATTCGGTAAAAATTATACCATCAATGTTTCCCAAGAAGGAAACTAACCAAAAATTTATAATACCGAAGGAGACTACTTTTTACCTTCATATCTATATTCATATAGATATATATGTATATAGATACGTATGCCTATACATCATAGACATGAAAGAGTATATCTATGCGAGGGTGCATTTATATTATATGAAAGCTTTTATCCATATCCGTGTACACACGAACACACAACTACACATGTATACATATATATATTGATATATATTGAAAAAAAAAAAAAAAAAAAAAACATAAAAATGAAAATTATTTTTATAAGTAATTGAAAAAATGGGAAAAAATAGTCGAAAATATGAATAATAAGTAAAAAGAAAATTATATTCGTCTTCGAAAGAAACTCTGACATCCACCATTGACAACCGCTACGAATTAAATGAAAGACAAGAACCGAATTATTGGGATACCAGTCGACCGATCAGATTTCTTTTCTCCCTTGAATTTTTTGATGGCCTTGAAAAAAGATTGGTCCCAAGCTTTAAATCAATGTCTCTCATAAGTCTATTAATTGCAATTATTTTGGGCGATTCATGAGCTTTGTCGTTTGAATAAATAAGTTTGATGGAGAAACTGCATAATATGCATGCACTATATGCACTTTCTCATCAGTGAGTAGGTCTGGCTGTTACAAATGAAAGGTCACACCTAGTATAGCTCTATCTTTCGGCGATATATATTGAAAATTATTTCACAATTGATTCACGTTCAAGTTAACATCTTTTTACCTAGAACTTGTATTATCATACAATCGAGCACACACATCAATACAATATTTCTTGTCAACCTTATATATATATATAGTAAACAAATTTCAATATAACTTATACGTACCGTTATACTCTTACGCTATGTGATTGAAAATGATAAATAAAGAGTCAGTTGGACATTGATGCATACAGAGTTTTCTATTCCTGCCTTGTATGTGGGCGCATTGAAATGGGTTCACAAGCAATTGTGGGCGCATATTTGTGTACGTAAGTATGTGATTGCATTTCATTGCAATATTGATTGCTTGTCACACAGATATGCACACAAAAGGTACAAGTGCGAATATCAGGCATTTCCTTTTCATGTTACAAACAAATTTGTCTGCAAATTGTAAATAAATTTACATCAACTTTTCAGATTTTATATAAAAAAAAAATTAAAAAAATGATAATTTATAATAACGATAACAACAGGTGCACAGTAAGATGGAAAATTTCTAAAATAATTAAAAGATATTTGTTGTTGTTAGTTGTGTGGATTACTTAAAAGGTTCGCTTGGAATTTTCTTCTTTCTTTTCTCTTAAATTTTTTTCATCAAATATTAAATCATTTCAATATTTATGAAAATCATTATTGAAAACCAAACTTTTGTTTAATATTTCAGCACATCAGCCCCGTTTAATCCATTGTCCATTGTATTAGCGATTTCGATGATTTCTGTTTTTCTCAAATATATTTTGCTTTTCAAAAAATCTCAAAGAAAATGATCCATGTGAACATGTATTATGTGGTCATTCGTTGTGAGAGCTTTTCAGAAATTAATTAGCCTAAAAAATACGATTCAAAATAACACGTTGTTTAAGGCTCTTCCATCTACCATGCATAAATTAATCCTATTGAAAAACAAATGTGACTCGTGTCAATTTATTCGAGTCTAGGTTACTAGAATCTGCTCAAGCAGTTGTTTGCACTCATTTTCTCTCCAATTATTTTCACGCATCTTTTGATTGGCCTTTGAATTGTTAAATGTCCTAAGAATAATATATAAAAAAAAAAATTACTCGCTTCACTTTAAAAAAATTTCTAATGACGCCGATAAGCTAAGTTAAGCGGTATTTTGCTTTACAAAACTTGTGTAAAGACGCTTGTGGCTTAGTGTGTTTAATAATCACTTACATTATAATGATTTATGCAAACTATATGCAATGCAAGCTAACATTAGGGCTGCCTTGCATGCGATTTCCTTTAGTACGGTGGCCGTCCTATTAGCTATGTCTCATCTGAAAGCAACCGTGTTGTTGCTGTTGTGAAAAAGTTGTAGAGACAACACAAGTAGGAATGAACATGAACATTCGTGCACATGTTGTGAAACTTATAGACCGCTTAGAGCGGATCATTCCCGAATTTGTACGACATGTGTGGGAGGACGCCATCAAAGGTACTTTCTACAATTGCTTGTCTATGCATGGCTTTCGCTTATATATTCTGTGGCCTTCACTTGTGCATTACGGGTAATATACGGGTATCGGGTGCAATAGGCTAGCTTATCTACGTTCCCTTATTTTGCTACTAGAACCAGCTCTATTTGGCTTATTAGTTTTGGCAATGATGGTTGACCAAATATACGTCCTATTATCTAATGGAACAACAGTTGAAGAAGCCCAACAAAAAGTCTCCTATCGATCCAATCGTTGTAAATTTTGCCTTTTAGACGATATCGTTAGTCGGGTGTCCTAGTCCGCCTCGTTGACCGCTAGCTTATACCAGTTTTAGTTCAGCTTGATTAAAAAAAAAATGCAATTCATCGCAAAGCAAGCCCTTTAAAGTTCAATTCAACAACTGCATCTCGATTTCAGAGTAATAAGTTTTTTTAACTACGATTAGTTTTTTTAGATTTTTATTTACTTTTAGAAATAAAACAAAAAAAAAAAAAAAATCAATTTTTGACAATTTTAATGCGTTGCTTTTGCGTATACATATCCATGGTTGAAATACATACATCATTGTAGGTATTAAGCGTTAAAATGATACTTGAATTGAAAGATAATGTTAAACAGAAATATTTAGTAACAGTGAAGGATCCTTGTATTTATATGATAATATCTTTAAAAATAATTTAATTAAATTTGATATATATATATATATATGTATATATATGTATATATATATATATATTTCTCTTTTTTCTTTTTTCTATTGCGGCAATTATTCATCTATATACATCACAAACATATTGATTCACTACATCCGTTTAACTATGAATGCCATATGCAACTGCTCCCTAACCGAACGCTTGTATACGTTCTCACGCCATGTGTACGCTCTTATCACTTTGCATCGCAACTAAACGGATATGCAAAACTAAAATGCAAATCTAAAACGGAAATTGAAAAATGCATAACTATTAACGCTAAAAATAACCAACGACCCCCAATGCTGCCAACATCAATAAAAATTGCTTGTTCAACTACAACAACCAACAACCAATAAAATAATAATAATAATAATAATAATAATATTAATAATAATAATAATAACATTGAATGGTATTTAATATCGCGAATTTCACATTTATAAAAAAGATACGCTTAACTTCGGACAAATTAAGCTTCGATTTGGTGCCTGATATTTTAAATAATCTAACGATATCAACGGTGGTGAAAATTAATCGAGCCACCTCCTGGCATTCGGTTGAATTAGATTACAAAGGCGGCGAAATCAAATTTACTGTCGACTATCAACATCAGAAAAGTCAAATGTACGGTTTAACGTTTAATATTGGCGATAAGCTAATTATTGGTAGCAGCCTTAAATCGGCAGCATCCGGTTTAGTTGGCTGTATACGCGATATTGAAATTAATGGTCTATTGATTGAGCCACGCCATGTAATTAAAACGGAACGTGTAGTCGGTGAAGTGGCCTTAGATAATTGCCAATATATAGATCCTTGTAAACGTCCAAACACGTGCGAGCATGGCGGTAAATGCTTTGTAAAGGATGATCGTGTCACTTGTGATTGCAAACACACCGGCTATATAGGCAAGAATTGTCACTTTACAAAATATCGTAAGACTTGTGAGGAATTAGCTTTGCTTGGCTATACAAAGTCCGATGTCTATCTCATCGATATCGATGGTAATGGTGTATTCCCGCCGGCTCATGTTAAATGCGATTTTCAGTCTTTGGAAAATGCTACAAAAACCATTGTCGAGCATAATTTACCCAGTCAGGTGGATGTACGTTCATCGCATGATACTGACTTTAGCTTTAATATACGTTATCGTGAATTCTCCCCGGAAATGTTACAAGAATTGATCTCGCATTCGCTTTATTGTACGCAATATATCAAATATGATTGTTATCGCGCTCAGTTGGAATTGCACTCAGCCACATGGTTTACATCATCGGCCAAAAACTATACAGTGGACTTTTTAGGTAATGTTAAAAGGTAAGTGAAACATTTAAAAAGTATACTAACTTAACCGATAACTATCCCCATTACAATCTATTTTTTATTTAACGCATACGATATCTATCGGTATATGTATATGAGAACGAAATCAAATTTCCTTTCGTTTCTCCATAAATTTTCTCAAATCTTTATTACATAAACTTCCTAAGAATGAAGATAAAAAACAAAAAAAAAAAATACTCTTGTTCTTCATTGAGTATCTATCATTAATCTTGTGAAAATGACCTATGGTCCAATCCAAACTGCATTTATAGTATGTTTTGTTTAACTTTGAACAATGAACCGCATAAGGGTCAGTTACACACATGGTCTCATCGTAATCAATAGTAGAAATTTAATTCAGACTATGCAGCTATAAAAGAGCAAAAGTGTTGCCGGCTTGGATTTGGACTACCCTCACGCCAATCCCGTCGTCAACCATTCTACCTTTCTAGAGATAGAGCTTTTATATATAGAGTGCGGGCTTTTTACTCAAATATATTCATATAAACATATGTACGCTCCCATGCCAAGTAACGTTAAGTTACCGCTTGAATTTGGTAAACTAAAAGTTTGAGACAAAAAAAACACAAAAAAAAAAACAAAAAAAAATGCAAAAAGTGTACATGAACCATTAGTTTTGTTGGTTGGCTTGTATGCGGCCAAAGTGATACTTCATATTTTTTCCAATTTCCTCTTTTTGTGGTAGTTGTCTCACTTTTTGTTGTTGTTTTTTCCACTTATGTTCATGCATAGAGTTCAAAATGAAATCAATTCATTTTTATTGGCGTTTATTCCCCCTCACTTCGTCCATTCCTTCTCCACCTTCTCCATCTCCTTAACATGTTCTGCTTTTCTCCCGTTGTTTTTTTTATTTTTTTTTTTAACCAAAAATCTCTACTTTGCCACAACAATTTATATACATTTATGCTTCGATCGCATACAATTACAATAAACTTTGTGTGTACGTGCGTGTGTGCATATAAACGCACATTCACATGTAAAAAAATGCATAGAAAAAAAACCCAACTACGAGTACAAATCGGTTACAAAACCATAAATCGTTAGGTTTGTATTCTTCGACCATATTAAATTCCACTCAAAATGACCCTTAACAGTTTTCTTTCACATGAGCCATGCATGATACATACGTAATACCATATGAATGTATCGGTTTACTGTAAAATGTATAAATGTATATTTGTGTTCTCGTATTTGCGAGTATATATATATACAGTTTTTTGTACGTGTGTCAAGGCATTCTTTGAGCCTCATAGCTAAGCAAACATAGATTCAAAGCCATACATCATTCAATGTATGACTCGTATTCAGTCATTCATTGTTTGACAGAAACTGAGATTTATATCCGATATTGTTTTAGTTGTTATTGTTGTTGTTGCTTAATGCACTATAAGAAAAGAATAGATGGAAAACGCATAGGCAGGCAATGAACAAATTTTCAATAGGAAATATATATTAATTATCGTCAATAAAAGCTTGTAATAAAATTTTTTATTATCGATAATAAATAAAAAATTCCCAATTTTATCAATAAATTAACAATATTTTCGAATATCAGAGATATTTTCGAAAATAATTGTAATTCCAATGATTCCAAGGATTCCTTTTTCATCAACAATTTATTGATAATTGTAAGCAATTAATAGATATAGATAGGACAGCGAATATTCGGTTGTTCGATTTGCTGAATAGCGCAGGAAGAAGAAGAAAATGCAACAATAATCTCTGTAAGACAAATTATTACTAAATGAAAATAGGATTAGTTACGTGAAGAAAGTCGCAGTGAATATTAATGAAAAGTTGCAAGTCCTTGGTTTTTTTTTTTTTTTTTTTTTTTTTTTTTTTTTTGTTACATATAGATAAAAAAGCATGGAAAATTTATAGTAAGCAGTGTTACATGCATCGATGAATAATTAGTGAAAACTATCACATAGATGTCGGCTGTAATCAAAAAACTGCCCATTACTTGCAGTCTGCACTTTTTAGAAAGGACCCATCTATTTTTAGGGCAGTGGAAAAAATCTGAATTTTGTGTTGAAAGTGTTATCGTAATTCTCCTCGGTTAGAGACCTCACTCTCTCAATGGTTTGGTGATTTGGAAACGAGCTCGCGCGGACACTGATGAGTCTGAAACTGGTAGCAATCTAGGGGCAAAAGACGTTTGCTTGCATCAGAGAGCATAAATAATATTTACAAAATTTATTCGCGATAATCGATAATCGATAAAGGAAGTCCCAAGTGATAGATGACATCCCAAAGATGCCAAACGTCATCGCGTTCGCCAATTTGTGTGCACGAGCAAACTGCTTCGACCTTCGATATAGGGCTACTGTATTCTTGAGGTCTACGCTCCAGCTGCTGTCGCGTCTATTGCCAAATTTCTAAAGAATTACGCCAAGGGAGAAGGTCATTGCGACAACTGAAGCTTCAAGAATCTTGCAAATCATTTTACAGAGAAACGCATATAAACGTTAAAGACGTATAAAACTGATCCCACTGCTCTTTAAGGGGATTATTTTAGAGTCAAGAACTATTGCCCGATATTATATTTTATTAGACATCAGGATATATATATATATATATATATAGTCCCTAATAAAATTTGGCAAAATGCAAAAATCTGCTAAGAATCGATGATGTATTTTTCTATGAAAATGATTTTTATAAGGAAATTTTACTTTTATCGATAATTAAATAAATCGCGGTTATGGGAAAAGAGATTTCAATTTTGATATTTTTATTTTCTATAGAATAAATAAATTATTGAGCGATTTCTCAGTGTATTTGCGTATACGAGAAAGGCACTATTCTGAATTGAACAAAGGCTAACAACCCCCCATAAATATTCAGCAATTATTTCATTCACGATTTTATACAACATTTTTCTATTTGCAGAGGCGCCTGTCCGTGTTCGGTAAATAAAACATGTGTGGATCCCAATCAATCATGCAACTGTGATGTAAAGGAAAGTAAATGGTACTCTGATGAGGGCTACTACATCGAACCGCATAGTTTGGGTATAACGTATATGTATTTTTTGCAGCAAAAAGATTTAGATGATGAGGCGCAAGGACGCATTACATTGGGTCCTTTAGAATGTGTAGAGACAAGTAAGTGATTGCAATCTATATATATATATATACAATCTATATATATATATATATATATATATGTGGCATGTGTGGTTAATAAAAAAGAAAACTTATTTTCTCCGACCACATTCGTAAAGATACCCAAAAATATGTGGTCACCTTTACCACATCCCAATCATATATTGAAGTGCCAGGTTGGCGTAAGGGTGATATAGCTTTCTCGTTTCGTACAACTGGCGAGAAAGCAATTTTACTATTCCAGCCACCCATACGACCATATTATCCTTCATTTATGGTGGCTTTGACGGGCGACTATCAGCTAACGTTCAATTTCACACTCAGCACGGGTACCACACGTGAATTGGTAATTAACTCGCATCGCAAGTTAAACGGAGGCGAATGGCATAAAATATGGATTGATTACAATGAGTATCATGTACGGTTCATGATAAATACGGACTACCAGATGGTTGATCTCTTGCCTGAGGAAGAATTCGGACCATTCGAAGGCAGCATGTATATTGGCGGAGCTACCGCGTAAGTTTGATTATGTTAGTCAGCGTTTCTGTGTGTAAGCGTATTTGTGTATTGTGTGTGTGTGTGTGTGTGTGTGCGTGTGCGCGCGCTTTTTTTAAGTATATGCGTGCATGTATATGTGTTCATCATTATTAAATAAAAGGTCAAGTGAAATGTTAAGCAACGCGTATTTTGTTTCGAATGCGAAACACATGTTCATTCAGCCGCCTATTGTGGTCGCTTTCGAAATTTATTGCAAGCAATTTTCGTCATTTTTCTCTTCTCCTTTATTTCTTTAATGGATTAATTATTACAAATTTGCTTTTTTTTTTAAATTTGGAAAAAAAAAAAACAATTCGCCAACACCTTTCATCATCAGCATTGTATTTTCATATACACAACATTTATATATATGTGCATATATATGTATGTATGCATGGGTGAAAATATATATGCCTTTATGCATATGCAAGTCTATGAAAAAAGGTTTAACCACTTGGTTTATTACAATTACATAAATTTCTTAACTTGTTTAATCCTGTCACCGACATCTGTCATCTCTTGTTTGTTTCCCCTTCTTGTATGCATATAACCGTGTATGTGTATAAACGTGTGTATATATTGATGTATATATATATATATGTGTACACTTACATAGATATAAACGATTACTAAAGCATATTTATTTATGTGTATGTTATAATTCCATATTAATAAATACACTACCAGTGAACCACCGCACTGAGTAATGCATGTAAAACACTTTTGTAATTAATGTCGGCCATTATTTTCGTGAGCCGTGAGCATGAAAAATCTCCTGAACGGCAATAACAAGTTGTTAAAATTCATTACATGTTCGAAGCTTATTGCAAAAAGGTGACAAACCTCAACCATCGTAAGTCAGTCTGTCACATTCAGTTGAGTCAGATTTTTGCTTAAATGTTCATTAGCGGCTGAGTCGTGCGGTCCATGACGCATGTTGCCGCTCTTTATATTTGAGCTTACAAGCATAAATAAGGACATCATTATAAGGGCTATGTTTTTCGAATATTGACTATAAAGTTCATAAAAACATGTATGTAATTATATATATATATATATATATATATATAGACTCATGTCTGGGATCACTTGCATGATTACATATTGGTTTCAACTTTTTCACATAAAGTCCATCTGCTTACAATTCATTTAAATTTATGTTGCGGATAAAACTTCGCAAGTTCGCTTGCGTAACCAAACGAGCGAAAGAATTAAAAACGTGCAATGAAAAAAAAAAAAAAAAAAAATTCATTAAATATTAATTATTTATTTATTTATTTATTTATTTTAGTACCATCAAGAAGGCATTTGAAATATCCTTTAAGTAAAAAAAAATATTTGTGAGAATTAAATAAATAAATTGCTGTTTTATTAACCTGTAGTTATAAAATTTTTCAAAAAAAAAAAAATAAAGATGGCCAGACAAACAAGTCATTAAAAGGCAATAAGTTCACCAAATTAAAACAAATATTATACAGACACCTATGTACATAAAGAATTTCGATAAAGAATTCATTTATATGGATATAGAGGGAGTTTTTCATTAAAAGCAGGCGTTCGTTTCCAATAACCCGATTACTTGAGTTGCTGAATAACCACAAGAGGTGACATTTAATTAATAAATTGCTATGCATCGCCCATATACGTTTGTAATCCCGCCCTTTTTTCCATTACAAAATGTAAGCTGACTATGACTTTCTAATCAAGTTGGTCCCCGTAAATTGCGGTTGTTGCGATCGAGCTCGATTTTTCCGCGACTAAGTTGAAATGTTAAATTGCTTGCTTATTGAGACGATTACGACAATTGCAAATTCGGTTTGCTTTTAGCCTAAAATTTGGAAAAAAAAAAACAAACCGAGAAAATTTTGAAAAACTCTTAACCGAAAACGGGAACCTAAGTTAGGAAACGTTATAAAAAGTCCATTAGTAGTAGTAGTAGTAGTCAATGCAAAAATGGCAAAAAGGAATTCAATTGACTGTTAGCCATATATTTTTGAAAGTGCTTGGGCATCCTTGACAACCTTGAACTTTTGTATAGAATGAAATCTCATTTAGATGCTTGCATTAATTTTGGCCAGCGACCTCTTCAGATAAAAATGATGAAGTAATGCGAAATACCAGTGTAGATAACGATTAAATTCGTTGATTTTGACATTTCTCTACATAAAATAACACTATATAAATTTTTGATTTGGTATTATTGAATTGTTCAGTGTATGCAGGCGTCAGCTATGGAACGTTCAAAATTGCGTTTTCAACATTCATTGCTTTCGTTGGCTTTTATTGCTGACCAGGCAATAGAAAGAATAGAAAGATCTTTCTTTGGCATATTGTGGATATATTACGACATTACCCAGCGAAAGATATCATAAGTTAGTCCAGGAAAGACAACCACACCGACACCGAAACGAAATATTCATGGACATAAGGGTTTTATGCGCAAATGGTGGGATCAGCAGGAAGCAGTGTATAACGTGCTGTTAACACCGAATGGAACTGTTACGGCAGATGTCTACCAATGTCAACTGGACAAACTGAACCATGTACTGTTTCGAAAAAGACCCGCAATATCGGGTGGCTATGGTATGGTACGAATTGACTGACAATGCCCTTTTGGTCACTTGTTGCAAATGTTGTCAGGGACACACTGCTGCAGCTCGACGAAAGAACGGCCAGACAAAGCGTGAGACAATTTATGGGACTAAAAAACAACTAAACCGACAGACAAGCGAACGAACAAATAAACACAGGGACGAAAAGACAGAAAGCGAAGCAAGCAGAAAGTTGGGCATAGAAATAGGTTTAGGGTATTTGTTGTTTTATTATTAATCAAAACTAGTGAGGCAACGACAATGATTTATTTGTAGTAAGAAATTGAAACATTTCGCAAGCTTACCAACTTTTTTAAATTCTAAAAATATTTTAACAGGGTTACCCACACACAATTGAAAGTATTATTAATCGCCACAGATTTACCTTAACACACCAGCTAAACTTATTAAAAATACTTAGGTATAATTTTGACGAAATCTGGTGTGTATCGCTTGTAGAGAGAGGGCATAAAGAGTGAAAGGATGAAGCGGTTGCGCTTGTAAGTGCATTCATCTCATTTTGGCGTCTATATGCGAGGAGCAGTAACAATGTGTACATCTTTTACTCGATTAAAATATTCAATCATTTTCTTAAAAGTCAACTCATCCATAATCGATCCAGTCAATATATAAGATATTCCGAAAGGGAAATCAAATTTATTACAAAAGATATATCAATTTGTAGAATAAACTAATTGATAATCAATAATAAAATTTTTCGTAATGAATTTTCAATAAATTTCTATATAAATCCGATTCGGGCTGTGAATCAAACAATGTCGGGTTTTTTTTTTTTTTTTTTTTGTTCAATTTTTTATGATAAACTGGAAAGTGATTGAAAAACCGATATTTATATCAATTCTTACACGTCACAAAAATGTTGGCGAAATAAAAATGTTCACAGTTTCACTAATTAAAAATGGTTTAATTTGGTTCTGCGATGAAATTGAATTGAATGGCATATTAAGCGTTCACACTACACTACATTTCATGTTGTTGCAAAAAGAGATGTTCTAAAATGATGCCAACACTTTCAATTTTACTATACCATCGTCAATATATTATATGCATGTGTGCATATAAGGTAGGTAACTACATGCACACACACATCGATTCATGCATATACCCGTCCGTTCGTCTACTCACTCAGTTAGTCAGTTATTCGTCATTCAGTTTTGCATACGCCTAACGAAAAAGTTGCCAACATCCTATTAAGTCATTAGCATGCATTTTTTTACCGTTACCGTAAACAGGATGCCTCTGATGGGAAAGATATTCATATACTTGATTTTGAAGTACAAATGTCAGCGATATCTATGTACGTAAGCTGGTATGGTATATTTTTGTGTGTATACATTAAAAAAAAAAAAAAAATAATCGAAAAAAATCGAAAAAAGTGAAAAAAAGAAAAAAGGACACACGTCACGCTCCTATAATAGTTTTGCATAGCAAGCTAACAGCAGTCACACGTTGTATGATCTAAGCATGCAAGAATATGTCGTGCTAACGGAACGGTGTTAAGAATTCCATGTGTAAAAATTAGTATGAAAAATTTACACACAACAACAACCGGGAAAGTTGTTCTTATTGTTTTTCTTGTTTTTGTTTCTGCGCCACTATTAGAGAATTGTAACGCAGTATATACAAGAAATGCAAAACAAAAATTGTCCTGTCTACCGTTGTTGCAATCGTTGGCGTGACATGAATACGCGACAACAACAACAACAACAACAACAACAAAAGACAACGACCAAAACAAATGCAAAAACTATTTAAAAAACTCTTTCGCATATTTCTTTCAGAGGCACAACTTTTGCGCTGTTTTTAAAAAGGGTGGCATCGGGCAATAAAATGTAACATACATTCACGTATAAAAGCACACATATACATATAGATACGCACAAAACAACAATCTGACATATCAAAAAACCCTTACAATATATGGATATAATGTTAGTTGCATGCGTATACGTATGCATGTGTATATAGGCACGATATTGCATTTGTGCAACATGTAAAGAGTGTGAAGCAATTAAAAATTTATTCACTGGCATCACAGGCAATTAAACACTTTCATGCTGTGCTATATGTATATGATCGTGTACATGTAGGGACAACTAACTGAATAGATGCGAGATAGGCTTGTGAAAAATAAAGTAGAGCCCAAAAATGTAAAAAGAGAAAAAAAAAAAAAGAAAAAACAAAAAAAAAAACATATGTTAATGTTAGGAGGCTAACGGCATCAGTTTTTTTTTTTTTTTTTTTTTTTTTTTCTTCCTTTTACTTAAACACTGCTCTGTTACCGTGCATTTCATCATTAAATGTCTGTTTAAGTTGTTTGCTAATGTTTTCGAACACAACTCCAAACTTATTATTGGTCAGACTTGTGCTCTGACATGTAGAGAATTCATTATTACAGTTTTACACACACACACACACACACACACACACGCACCCATGCTTGCATACATACATTTATGTTCATCCATAACAATGCTGCAAACGTAACTGTGTGCTTATGTGTGCTTGTGTGTGTGTGTGTGTGTGTGTGTGTGTGTGTGTGCTTGCACTCAACAACCATTGTGGCGTGTGCGGTTATGTTAAAACGTACATGTCCGTATGTACTAATGTGCATACAATAGCAACAACAAAATCACTAATAACACACCTACTTACATAATATATTCAACAGTTGAACTTGTAGAACATCAAAAACATCATTAACATTAACTTAAGTTAACAATCAACGGCACTTATAGCTTGTTCTTGCATTTGTATGCGGTAATCTTTTGACTCTTTCACGTTAATTTTCTACTTTTCCGTTATCCAAATTTTCAGGGATCTTTTGAAGAAACTGTCCGTTAAAGCAGGCTTAATTGGCTGCTTTCGCGGTTTAGTGGTGAACGGCGAAATTCTGGACATTTACAGCTACATGTCGGTGCATTTATCAGAAATCATTAAAGACTGTAAGCCGTCTTGCGTTCCCAATCCTTGTAAAAACGGAGCCGAATGTAAAGAATTGTGGAGCACCTTTAAGTGTGTATGTAACAATACTTGGGCTCATCTTGGTGAATTTTGCGAAACAAGTAAGTACCCACTCTATATAGCTGTTGCTCTCTCAATCCAAATTAATTTATATTCCTATATATATATATATATATATATATATATGTGTGTGTATATACAACAAATTTATGCATATTTGTGCGTAAACAGATGTTAATGAAAAGGCGCTTACTTTCATTAATCGGGAGTCATTCCTGATGCGTAATTATCTTAGTGCCACAGCTGCACCGCAACCGTCAACACTGCCAGGCATCGACGATGAACGTGGAATACTCAGAGGCATCCTCCATAACGATATACTCATTAATTTACGCACTTACGACACAAATTCACTTGTACTCTATGCCAACGATCATTACAATAATTTCGTACATTTGTATATAAGTGATGGCCGTGAAATTGTATTTCTGTATAATTACGGCGACGAAATTGTTAATCTTACAATTGTCGAGGAGCGAGTTAGCACATTGAAGAGCATTCAAGTGGCCATTGTACGAGAAGACCATCAGACGCGTATGCATGTAAATGAGCAAAGTATAGCAATAGAGAGGGGTACCCTTCTACTGGACGAATATGCTAATAAGCCATGGATCAATCCGGAGAAAGGTAAATTGCCCTAAATTCAAAGTACATGAAATCGCCGCCGCTTCAGCACACGGCGACGATTGTATTATACTTGTTAAAATAAATGAATATAATGCGTACGTAGCGTTGCAACTGAATCGCGTACTTACAGTGCCAAACGTATTTTTAATATTTTTAAAAATCGATTAAACATTCACTCTTAGCTAAAGACAGAGAACGTGTAAGAAATTATTTATTGTATTAAGGCAAGCGGCCGAGTTTTACTCGCCTAACAGGCCTTAGCAAATATATATATATATATATATACCGAGTTTTAGAGCAATATCTTTTATAAGTTTTAAGGTGTAGATGCTACATACATAGGCAGTCGGCCATGCGGACGTTTAGATAAGCGGACAGGTATACAGGTGTGCTGGCAGACATGCAAGCAAACTGACAGAGAGGAAGAAAATCAGTTGAGCGGACGGACACAGGAGGTTGAGTAAGCAGATGGAAGTGCAAGCAAATGGACTGTAACTTGACTTTGCAGTAGTGTACTTCTTCTCTAACGCCACCATGGCAAGCTTACAGATATGCTTCACAATCAACAATATATTATGTAGGTATATTATTGATCAGCATTCTGAATCGATATAGACACGCCTATTTGTCCGTCTGTATGTGTTTCATAAACGCTCTTCTTCTTCTTCTTCTACCTGCTTCAATTTTGATAAAAGTATTGAAAGGCTGATCCACGGAAGTTAATATTGAAGATGGATTAAATCGGTGAAAAGACACGCCTATAATACCGCATAAACTAAAAACGCCTTTGCTTTTTCATTACTCATGCACGACAAGGAAAGCAGCGATAAAAATTTTCAAACATACTTTCAGGTCAAGGAAATAATCAATTGCGGTTGTGGTCCCATGTTACTAAGTATCAAAATCTCTTTTTTTTGAATTTTTTTTTTTTCCCCATTTTCTTTTAAGAGAAAATTGTCTTATTTTTTTGTTTTTGGTTCCATCAATGTAGTCGTTCTCCGGAATTCACTTTTCATCACTGTCAAATCACTGTTTTGTACCAGTTTCCATTATCCACTCGAACGTATACAAATCGTACTTGCTTCTTGTCTCCCCTTCTATCGATAATTCTTCCTGACCACCACTGCATAGGACACATCTGTGTAAGTGACTGATCGAATACGCAGAAAACTTTATTTTCCTTTTTTCCGCGAACGTTTATGTGGGAGGTAGTTTGAAAGAATCATCCCATCCCGTCTCAGATATTCAAACATTCGTTTCGCATGCCAAAATAATGACTGTTATCGATATTTATCTCGAGATTTGTAAAAATGAGAAATTTGTTCATATAATGTTCTTTGCCAAGATAAAGATTAAAAAATTGCCCCGAAAACTTTTTAGGTTTCGCATAAAAGTGCGAAGATAAGCGGATAGACAGACATTCTCAGCAAATGATATGACATTCGATTAATATAATAAAAAAGTTAGATTTATTGCAACCTCTTCTGGATTTTGCTTAATATCGTAGCGTAGCGTATTATGCGCTCGCATTCTATTAACATATCTTCTCTTCTCTCCTTCTTTTCATGCGAATTCATGCGAAAATTGCACGAAATTCGTAGATCAAAAAAATAGAATTCTTTTCGAAATTGTTTTTTTTTTTTTAAAGTCTCTTTTCGAAAACACTCCGCCATTTGTCCACCTCTAGAGGTTTGAAAGATGTTGGGAAATTGATTTTACACTTAGCCGTTTACCGCGTGAGTCCAGTTTTAGAAAATAAACACTTTCACTTGCTCTAAAATACTTTGATTAGTGACTCGGAAAATGTTAGCAAAGTTTGATCAGAAATTTAATATATATATTTATGTATATATTATATATTATAATATATTAATAAATATCGATTAAGTGAAAAATTGATTGATAAGTAATCCATAAATTGCTCTCACTTACCCATAGATCGTTGTTAAATTTTTTTATCAATGCAAATTTTGATAAAATAATTTTTCAAATTGTCGCTTTTATTTATTATTCGCAATTTTTATCGAATGCCATAAAGG